ACCTGCGAAGTTCGTAGATGAGGTAAAATTTGAAGTGGGGCCCACCTGATCGATGGCACAGCCCCATAGTCATGACCCTAAACCCACCTATCTTGCCAACTTGGCTGCGCTTGCCATGCAGACAGGCTCATCTGTTGAACACTGACAGCAAAAGAATAGCGTATCAGCCTTTGCATTTATATCTCTGTTAATATTACCATATTACCCAAATGATGTGTTCCAATGTTGTAGAACTGAAGCAGAATCTGATGGTCCTTGATCCTCCACAAGGTAAAATAAAAATACATAATGACTGTATAATATAAAAACCAAGAAATCATTCTACAGAAAATTCTGATAATTACATTCTACTTTAATTTTTTTCTCTCCTTGGACCATCATTTAAACATTATAAAGGTAATACAACTTTTATATAAAATTAAATAACAATGGTTGAAAAATAAATATACTTCATTAACATAAATACATAAAGAAGTCAATTCTGCTGAAAAAAGTTTCAGCCAATACTATACTCTTGTTTCAAAAGTGTCCAAAAACATGGAAGCAACACTCCATCTGGTACAGATGAAGTATGACCATCTACAGCAGAAAGGTGGTGAGAAATGTCGGAACTAGAAGGAAGGATGGCAACACAAAACTAGAAGATGACTTTCCTGTACTTCCTAATGTAGTAGCACATGATATTCAAAACGAGGTAGACAAACATTACAGGATGGACTTTCCAAGCAAAGCAAGAAATCTTAGTTTAAGCTTCTGTATTTGCAGAGAGTTTTTGTCACAATCAGCACCATTTATAGTCTCACCCCTTTAAAGTAGGGGTGGGCACATGTGGCCCTGCAGATGTGTTGGTGCACAACCCCCATCAGCCACAGTCAGCCAAGCTAATAGTGAGAGGTCACAGGATTTGTAGGCCAAAACATTTGGCGGGCCACAAGTTGTCCAGTCCTGCTTCAGACTTCATGGGTTGCTTCAAATTTGTATGACTAAATCAGTATAACATTCAGATTGCTGACATAACGATGCACTTTGGTCATGATATGCAAACAAGCACTTAGCCCTGCCAACCAAGATTTCCCACATGCAAGGACTGCAGGAATTTAGTGAAGAACTCTCACAAGATTCTTCTCTAAAGAGCCAAAGACCATTCATGCAAGAATGGAAAAACAGTTTAATGCTCCAGGTGCCCATCACAACAGAGATAAAAGATCTTGACTCAGAGGGCGTGTGACTACCTTTGGGGGAGAAAGGTATTAATAGGAGGTATTCTTGCAATGAGCAGCATATCCTGAGTTTATTTCAACTCTGTAATTACCTCCCAATCACCTTTAGTCCTTGAATGGCAAGAGAAAAGGAATGTTCTGGCAGATGGTGACCCTATTGGCAGAGAGCGAGTGGAGGACACAAATATGAAGCTTACGGCCCATCTATGTCTGTAGCACACTGTCTTGTCTATTCAGGATCGGTTAGGATTACATTAAAGTGTGTTATGCCCAATTCTGCACATTGCTTTCTGAACCATAATATTACATCGTGGAGGTAAAGAAGCAAGCAGCATTTTGGAAGACATAGTACTATATAAACGAAAAGTGGCACATTTAGCTGTGTTGGTACTCAGAATTTAGATTTAGAGTTCTCACCGCTGCATTAAAATATGGAAATGTGATGTTGTTATGGTATCATGATTTGTTTTTAGTTTTGAAGAGCTTCCCTGATTATGTTTAGATCTCTGGGATGGGACACTTTGGATTCTTGCTTGGATAAGGAATGCCTGATTGAACTCTGCATTTTAAAAACTAAAGGGAAAGTTCTATTGTAGTGAGGAAAAGCTCCTAAGGGGTATATTGCTGGAATTTCACCAGAACATTCGTTCCGTTCTGTACTGTTTGGTTCCTGGAAATGTTCAAAGCAAGGGCAATCCAATGTTAGCAGCAATTTCCAGTACATGATTTGGGCAGAAACCAAGCAGCACCATGATTTCTACCTCTACTGAGTACATTTGCGCTAAGCACCAACTTTGCCCCTCAACACAGAAGGGCGATATTAGCACCTCAGATGAATTGTATTTTATAGCACTGTCCCTTGTAATGATAAAGCACCATGCAAGTATTTCCTAAGCAAATGTATGGCTATTGCATCATTTGCTGAGGTATGAGGATTGACATCCCACAGAAACAGTGGTGAAGGAAGGAAAGAAATATCATCCCAGCAATATGACTATGACCACTTTTGGATTTATAAGGTTCTAATAGTAATTGGAACAGTCCCTCTTTAAAGTGCTTTAGAGTCAAATTAGGACTATAAAATAATTAAATTACATTATAACTTAGCAATAAGTTATGGAGGTTAATCTGTGTGAGATTTTTAAAAGGGCACGTTAACAGTTTTCTACCTGGCCACTATTGCCCCATGTTCTAAACTCACATGATGATAAGGGGAAGGGAAACTGATTAACCTACAGAGGTGGAAGTGTCCAGTGAGGACTGTAAGCAGGTTCTCTCCGTCCTGTCAAGAGGGGTAGGGTCTCTCAGGACTGGCGCCAGGAAGTGTGTATCCTGCTCCTCCTGTGCATGCTGCTCAATCATGTGTGCATTAGTGCTTGTGGGGGGGGGGGGTGCTCATAAGCAGGACCACTGAAGGGAGGAAGCTGCCTGTGAACCAAGAGGAAGGCCTGCCCAGATCCTTTGGTGGCACTTGTGAGAGAAGAGTGGATAGCAAAGCTAGGATTCCCCCCTTCCCTTCCTGTAAATGGACTGGCAAGTTGGGGAGGGAGTAGAGAGAGCAGAGACTGTATTTCTTCCTAGTGCCATTCCATAGTAGCTTAGGCAAGAAGGAGGGCCAAAAACTGTTTATTTTATTTATTTACTTGGTGCTCTTCAGGCTGTTCCTCCCCCTCCCCTCAACAGTGGGCTTGGCAGTATTTCTTGACATTTCTGCTCTTAAAGGAATTCCGTTGGAGAGTCTGCTCCTCTGTAATAATAAAGTGACTTCCCAAACAACCAGCCTGGACATGGAACACCAAAAAGTCTCCCTACAGCAGCAGAGGGCAACTTGTGGTCCCCCGTATATTTTGCCTTACAACTCCCATCAGCTCTAGTCAGCATAGCTAATAGTTATTAAAACAACTGGAGGGTCAAGTGTTCCAACTCTTGCTCTTTAGGAAAATCAGCAGCTCTTCTTAGGATACATTCACAAGCTGGGGTGAACAAGCACATCTTATGATTCCTACTGATGTGAGAAAGGAAAAAGCTTATGGGACTTCAGTGTGGATTGACCGATGTTGCCACGCACAAAGGAAACTCTCCCTGAAGAGAAACACCTGGGTCCTCTCCACGTAACACTGCCTTTCTGCTTGAGCTGCACAACAGCTCCAAATCTAGTCTTACCATAGATCATCCCCAACAAAGGGAAATCTAGAGATTCTCGGGTCACTTATGCCTGTGTGGCCAGTGCACATGTTGCAAAAGCAACCTGCCCCCTTCCCCACACTCTGCCATGGCTACAGTTCATTTTGGCTGGCCATGAAAGCTGCTGAGACATGAGGTCATCATAAGCTCGTGCAAGTGGGAGCATTGTGTCAGTTCCTGAACCACTCTGCAAATTGTTCAGAATCAAGAAGACTGGGATTCCTAGACAGGTGTACGTGAGCAAGGGGCTCACAGTACGAAGGTGCTCGAGCAGCACTCTGTGATGTCCGGGTCTGGAGTCGGGGATCGGCATCACTGGGCTTCGACTGGCAACTCCCAGAGCCCTTGCAACCTCTGCTCACACCCCTCTACATGGTGCTATGGATTGGCCCAGAGAGAATGGGCAAGGGGAGAGACTGGAAGGGGAGCTACTTAAGGAGCTCCTCCCCATAGCTCCCCCCTTGCCCCAGAGCTCCCCAGACCTGTCGCCCACAGTGAAGATGTCAACACTTCACATTTTTGCCGCCTCTAACAGCAGCATACATGCAGCAACCGTGTCTGCTGGGCAAGGTGTGCAGCTGCACCTGGGCACGCTGGAAGGTCTGCGGCACGTGTTCACTGACCTCTCACACCAGCCCAGCCCTATGCAAAAAAAATAAAAATAGAAAAAATAGAAAAATAAAGACGTTCCATGTCTCTGTTTTGTTGTGACTAGGCAAGATTTCATGTACTTTGACCATCAGGGTGTTAATGATTATTGAGATTTTTTTATCCTCTTGCTGAAGGCTACAAAGCTTTGTGCAGCAAGCTTAAATGAATTTTACGCTTTCTAATTAAATAGGCTTGGGACAAGTAACAGTACTTTTAAATCAAAGTCATTTAAGAGTTCTACCTTTGCAAGGTGGGTATTACTCAAATGTTAAGAACTTGGCCTTTAAAAGCTTCCTTATGCAATACGTTGCTATCAAAAATTTGGGAACTAAGTTGCCCAGCTCTCCCCAAGGCAGCATCATTTATCTGTCACTCCTATCTATTTTTTTTCTTTTTCTTTGTCTTAAGAAGGATGCTTTTTCCAGGTCACCTGGCTAAATAAGCTTGAAATATTCAGAAACAGCTACACAGATGTTAGCTGCTTAGCCCTGGAATTCTCTCATCTCTACAGGACTTCAGCAGAGAACTTTAAGCAGGTGCTAAAACAGCCCTTCCCTATGCAAAGATTAGGGAAACGTTTTGGAAATGAAATACTACCATGAGTGTCATTTGCTTGCAAAGAGTTCCTTCATAGTGGAGAATTGTAATGTGCAGCACTTGGGAGTGTGCTAGTAAAACATACAAACTTCATTATCAAGCAGAAAGTGCCTTTAAAATGAACAGATTTCCTAGCTGAAGCCCTTCCTGAATGCCTATTTTATTTGGAATGCATCATAAAAGCTCTTTTAAGTGCAGGTTTTTTCTTTTTCTTAAAAAACCAAACTAACGTGTGCAAACACACACCAGATAGTAGCACCTTGGACTTTAAGTACACGCACTCCATTCTTATGAATTATTTGTAAAATTAATATAGCAATAAAAAGAAGTAGTATGTTAGGGTCGTACCGAGCTCCAAGGACCAGTACTCCAGGCGACGTCTTGAGGGCAGTCCTGCACGCTGCACTGCTCGCGGTCTGGCGGCTTGTCAAGGATTTCACAGCTCATGTCAGTGAATCTCTCTCCATTTGGATGCTGGCACACAACCAGTCTTGTTCTGGTTCCTCCACCGCATGGCTTTGAGCACTGGGAAAATGGCAGTGTACACAGGTCACATTGGCCATGATGGGGCTCATTTATACTTTATGATCACTGCTTTTTCTTCATTCTGACCCAGAACCAATTTAGATGCTATTTTTCTTTTGATTCAAGAAACCAAGCATTATAGATGCTAGGAAAAAATTAATGTATAACACAAAATGCATTTTATACAAATCTGTGTACTAAAATGAATTTCTGGCAAGTTCTGCTCTTACTGCTGGTGATATCAGTGTGCTTCTATGTTGCACGTCACAATTTTCCGCCTCTTAGATCTGCAGATGTGTGAGGGAAGCCCACAGCCATAAGATCTGAGGAAGACTTAACATCTAAATTGGCTGTCAATCTCATGGAAGAGAATTTCAGTCCTTATTTCAGGTGAAAATGGGGATTGATCCCAGATTACAAGCAAGAATTGATGGGAGAGCAGATGGGAAGACAACTTTAAGTATGTGCATATTCTCCAAGGCTGCGCATTCATCTTGGAGAGCCATCTCCACAGAAAATATGATTCTGTCTACCCTTATTCCTCCGGGGGATGTGGAAGGTTTGGATAGAATGATCTTTTTCTCATAAGCCATGTTTGATTAGAGTGAGGACAAACCACTCTATGTTCCAGTCTCATCCCTCCCTTCTTCAAATACCTGCTTCTGCCCCTCTATGATGGTTTATTAAATCATGGTTTCCTGTTTCATCAAAACTGGAAACTGTGGCTTCATCTCTTTTTACAAACTAGAATATAAAAGGAAGTTAAAAACAAAATCAAGTATTTAGTATATCCAGTTAAAGTTTTACAGTTAAATGCTTCAGCTATCAAAGTAACTTGGGAGTGGATTTGTTGTCGTTGTTTTAATGAAGGAAAACACTTTGCTCACCTCACCCCAACTGCCATAGGCCCACTGAGGGCAGGGCCCTGATTCACATGATCTCTGCTCATCTGGTTTTGTTCTCACTTCACAGTTACTGGCAGTGTATCCATTTTCATCCTGGCATACCACAACCCGCCTCTGGAATCCACCAGCGCATGTACTGGAACACTGTAAAACATGATTATCAAAGGTTGAGAAACTTCAGTCTAGGTTAGCCTGATGGTTAAGCATCAATAGGTACTGACTGTTTCACTTATATCTTCTTTACTCGTATTTTATAAAACTCAGCTTCTCTTGCACCTTTGTCTGACTCAAAGTTTTATCTAGTTTTATCATTATAATATTAAGGGAAGGTAGATAAATTTCAGAGACGACATCAGAGACAAAACATCCTGCCATTGCATTTAAAAGTTCCTTGCTTGCTTCCTTCCCAAGCTTGGCAGCCCTCTTCCTAAGCCTCAGAGATGAGGATGGTGCCTCAACTGGGCTTCTCAATTGCGAGAGGTTATATAACAGGATGATCTTTTGCTGTCCTCTCTCCTGCAGCCCTCTACAAGCCTGCCACATCTGTCCTGGGATGTCCCCCAACCAATGGAGCAGATCTCAGGTGTGTGCAGGGGACTGCAGGTACAATGGGCAGACTGCTTTACCGGCATTTCTATTCCACTGGTGGACAGTCAGGGCTGGATACAACCCTCATTCAGGGTTGTTTATTCTGACAGCAGAATGTTTCTATAGCATCAAACCCTCCAGGTGGGCCTAACACATATCCAGCCCAACTAAAATTGGAATAAAATTCATCTGCACCAGCTACTTACTGCTCCCCATGGGCCAGTTCTCCACTGGTTGCCGTCATGCGCATGTACACGACCTTGGTTTCGGTTTGGGTTTCCGCCCTTTTGCCGATAGTCCGGATAAGGGACGGGATAGATTGGCCTGTTATATTCAGAGTTAATCTGTTGACATGATGGCATAGAACAATCTTGCTCTGTTGCAGGGATATCATCAGCATCACACTCACGTCTGTCAACGATCTGGTCACTGTAGTCTATGCAGACTACTTGCCGGGTCACCTTACCTTGTCCGCAGGTTACGGAGCACTGTGTTGATACAGGAGAGAATTGGCAATTGCTCTTTTTAGGAAAAAGACATGTTTTGAAAAATACAAAATGAAACTTATTTATACAAAATTATTTTAAGCACTACTTTTCACTGGTGTGAATTCTACATATTTGATCGATTTCACAGAATTAGGAACCTAACAATCTACTTTATATGAGGTAAGATTACTCATCTTTCTAGCTCAGTATTGTGAAACCAACAATAATCCTCCAGGTTTTCAGGCAGAAGCCTTTTTCAACACTTGCTACTTGAGCCTTCCCCAACATAGCAGTCTCAAGATTTTTGGGACTGCAAATTCCATAAGCCCTAGCCATTCTGACTAATGCTCGGTGATGCTGGAGTTACAGACCAAAACATTTTGAAAACATGATGAAAGGAATGTCATGCTACCTAAACTTCCAAAAAAGATTAACTTGGGATTTTCCCCATGCCTGTACTGTGCTACTATGCTCCGGTTTTTCTCTATGCCAGTTGGAAACTAAAAGAAGAATTCAACTATTCATCAGGAAAACAGGTTTAAAGAACAGAAAGAGACCACTGCTACCACAAACAAGCTCCTACTGAGCTTACCAGAGGATTTCATCACCCGCTTGACAAAATAGACCTCTATTTTGGACAGGAAATGTTTTGCCCAATGCTCTAAATCAAGTCTGAAGTGTTCCTCTTCACTTAAAAACACCAGATACAAGTGGCTGAATCAGCAACAAGAAGCACGTTGGGACATATTAAAATTATGCCCCCTGGAAACACGGGCATTGCTCACCGAGCTCCATTCGGCAGTCTTCCACTGTCCACATGGTGTTACTATGCATACTTCTGTTGCAGATGGCTTTGGAAGGTGAAAGCAGGCAGCCTCATCAGCCACAGAGCCTTGATCATCACGACAGCTGACGTATCTCATCCTGGTGCCCTTCCCACATGTAGTTGAGCACTAGAAAAGATGGACAAAAATGCCAACAGAAAAGCTGAGGCTTTTGATAAGAACTTTGCCACATAGCTTAGGGTTGCAGGGTTTATTTATTTATCAAGTGAACTTCAAATGTGCCCTTGTAACGTACAGGAGTCCAGGATCCAAATCTCCACTGAGTTCTGTGGCTGTTTTGCTTTGTTTCTGAGCTGCTTGGGTGGTGACGGCATGGTGCTATTTCACAGTCCTATTTAACAAATAAGAACAGAAAAAAAGCAAACTGCTAATGAGGATCAACCATTTACAAGTATTTTGCTGCTGATTATGGGTTACCAATGCAGTGATGAAAAGGGGGAGCAACTCCCTCCCATTACACTTTTTAAAAGCTTGTTCGCTACAAGTTCATCTTTTCTTAAAGGTGGATATTCTCAGTGTATCGGCCAAACTCAGTAATCCTGAACTATGTTTTATTTATTTATTTAAAGTTTTTATATGCCTTCCCAATACTTAAAGTGGCTTACAAAAAACAAAAAAGCAAAGCAACCATATGCAACAAACAACATACAGCATCCGATAAATGATTATAAAAACAAGGCTAAATCCAATTAACTGTTAAAATATTGGAAAAATAAAATAAAAATATGCTATACTAATGCCCAAAGTATAGTCTGAAGATGATATCAGAATTATGAAAGAAAGGAAGACAGGTTAGAGAGGAGAGCATTCAGTGGCAGTTAAGGTTCTGGTGAACTATGGATCTTGAACAAGGACTTCAAGGAATTGAGGGAAAGAAACTGAGAAAAGTCATGGGAAGACTGCTCCAGACATGGAAAGTAGCAAGGCAGAAAACGAAGGGGTGGGAGGAAGAGACAAGAGGATACTTCAGTCCTGCACAAATACTGTTGCACTTAGCAAAGACTGCAAGTACCAAATTCTGAATGCTCCCTTAGACCCAAACACACACACATACAGACCCCACAGGAAGCAAGCCAGCATGTCAGCTAAAGTCCTTGTCCCTACCATGCCCGTATTTCACATGCAGTGAATGTTGGAGACATTCCACCAGGCTGCAGATCTCCAAGTTTCCTCTCGATACCCCTGTCCCTCCTGACAAGGCCTAATACCACCCACACATCCTCCCGATGCATCACAGGTGGCTTCCTGACCTTCCATTTCTCTATGTACAGTGACTGGCAGCACTCAGGAAGGGGGACCATCCCACCCATGTTTGCAAAAGGGTTCCACAATATCTTTGAATACACAACATGTTGCATATCTGTCATACAAGCACACTTACCTGTGTGTCTGTTGGTTTGGTAGCAGCATTGCATTCATTATCATCTACCACGGACACGTAAGCGCCAACCACACATTTCACTGCCCTCATCTGATAGCCCTGCCCACATGTTGCAGTGCACTGGCAGGAAGAAAGAGAACACATAAAGACCTTTTCGGGCAAACTGAGATGTTGCGAGCAAACATCCATGCGCTGCAGGAACAAAGGAATACGGAATCTGCCTCAGCCCAAGTCAGTCCCCGGTTCATAAGGCTCAGCATGGCTGACACTGACCGGCGATGGATCTGTATGGTTCCAGGCAGAATCTTTTGTGGAAACCCCTTCCAAAAAAAGAAAAAAAAATCCAGGGATTGAACCAGGGATTTTCTGCAGGTGCTCTCCTCCCACTGAGCCATGGCACCAACACCAGTGTATCAGTTTTGATACCCTGGCAATTGCTGTTTTGATATGATGCAGGACTATAGTTTCCTACAGCGCAGGAACATCTATTAAACCAGTTTTAATTTGCCATATTAAATAAACCCTGTTTAGTAGGATATATAATGTTTCGCATGCCTTAGATCTAAACACAGTATGCAGAGGTAAGAAAGTTCAAGGTACAGAACTTTACTTGCCAAATCCAGGGAAGTTTAAAATGTGTGTGTGTGTGTGGGGGGGGGAGCCCTAGCTACTACTTCAGTTGCTTCCATTTCAAATTAGGTCAAATGGGGAAAATCTGCTGCTTCCGCGGAAATCCTGCATGCTTCATTTATCCCCTTCAAATATACATGTGCAAGTGTTTTAATCATTGACCATTCTGTGGATTATGAATCTCATGTAATCTCTGTCACATTTCTTTACTGAATCGACAGTTGCAAGAACCTTAATAGACAGGAAGGCATGACCAGTTGAGGAGAAATTTGTGTGGTCTGGACAGGTTTATTCATTTACTTGTTTTGAAAGTGTAATTAGATTAGAGCTATTGCTGGAACAAAGATGGAAGAAGGCAAATGAAGTCTTTCAGAAGCATCCCTGGTAAAGGCTCTTTCTGTGATTAATGCATTTCCTTTAAACACACAAACACAAATTATGCTTAAATCGAAATCTAGGTAGTCTCAATCAAAGCCTGAGTTTCCACTCCAGTATTTATTCTCATCTGATTACCTGTGATCAGTGACTCAGCATACATACACATGCTTTCCATGTATATAATTTGCATGCATATGGTTCTGTTTTCAGTCCCTATTCTCTCTCATTAAGGAATCACTGGGACCAGGGCTTGGGAAGACTTGTCTGTGACTACCAAAGGGATCCACTGACAGTCTGGATCTACTGAATGGGTTAACAGAACCATAAACTGAACTGCCATATGTCAAGGCCTTGACCCTGCACACCAGCTCCAATGTCTCAGAATCCAAAGGCTCTTTGGCAGAGCCTCTGACTAACTCCAACATCTTGAAAGAGCCATCCTGCAGAAGACAACTATATGGACCTGTAGAAGAGGTCCCCTACTCGCCTCCAATATTATGTCCTGTCCATAAGTCAAATGATCAGTCTCAGAGAGCACCATGGCTAGAAGGTGCAGCCGCTCTGAGGTGAAGCATGTGCCACAAGGCCCAAGGCAACAGGACCCCTCAGTGGCAAAGGACACAACAAGAATAAGAAGCTCCTCAAGAGCAGGGGGTTCTGGAGGCAAGTTTAGCAGTTTGCAGCTGTACCTGAAGTGGCCTGGGAGGTCACACCAATGAAATGAGATGCGTTGCTTAGTAGAACAACAACTTTCTTGAGGGGCCTTGTATTTTCAAAGCAGTTGAAAAACTGGTTCCAAGATGTAAGGGACCATGATCATGTCAGGGATACTAGTCTATTGTTAGCTTTTGCTGCAAACATTCAAAATGAGATTTTTGTAATTTTTTCTGGAACTTGAGCTTAAGAAAAAGGTAATTTTGTAAAGAATGAGGTGAGCTCATACCTAAACCAGCCCTTTGCTCTAAATTTATTGCATCTGTATTCACTTAGAGGCAACTTGTCCAAATAATGAAGGATGCACTAAAGGGATACAGAAACTATTTCAATGACATAGGTCAAATTTTGATCAGATCAAACATCTCTTAACATCTCTTACTCCATTCTCATTGGTGTCTGTCCTTTTTTACTTTAATTGTAGGCCTCCTATATAGGGATATTTCATTTTACGTAGTCCCCAGAGAATACGTAAATGTAGCTAATTAATATACTTCATTAATAGAACTAGTTGGTTTCAAATACCTGTCCCCATGGCCCTACTTGCCATGCAGCACATTCCTGCCGCTGACAACTCTGCACAGCATCTGGTTTCGTCTCGAGATTGCAAATCCTGTCATTTAGCCGTTCTCCTCCAAACTGGCACCAGATTTGCCGGTGCTTGTGCCCTTTCCCACAGGTTACCAAGCACTGAAAGAAGAAAACGTTAAGCTGAAGCTTGCTTTGTTCATGTTTAAATCAAAGCAACAACGCCTGAAAAGATTAAGGGGGAAAACAAATTAAAGGAGGAGTATAAGCAACTTGAACCTCACCTTGGGTCAGCCAGCACTGAAACCAGCTCACATACATACTTGCACATGACCCAAGCACACCGACACTCCAACTACAGAACCACTGCATGGACAGGCTTGGGTTACAGTGGCAGGACCGGAGAAGGATTTACAAAGAGGCAATTCCTGTGTGAAAACTGGTTTGGACCAGTTCTATCTGTGGCTGCTCGGCATATGGGCAAACTAGTGCAATGACTGCATGCCCATTTATCAGCCATGGTGGAGGCATATACAATATCACTAAATCTTTTGGCTCCCACATGCTTATTCTGAGCAAAAGCAAATGTATTAGGTTGAAGTCTAATGCATTAGTTACAGTTTAATCCCCCTGAAATCAGTGGGACATGTTAACAATGCCTAATTTGAACTTCAGCCCCATTGATTTCAATAGGATTAATGTCTAGACTGTAATCCAATGCACATTTACCTGGAAGTAACTCACATTTAACACAATAGGCCTTACTTCTGTGTAGATACGTACAAAATCACATTCTTATTAAGTCTGCCTCCAACCCTACTGTCTCTGGAAAATGCAGCCAAATTTTGTTCAAACAAACATTGCAAACTGCCTAGAGAGTAGTACAAAAATGCAATAAATACATACTTACAGACCTTGAAACTAGCAAGATTTAGATGGATTTATGGACATGAATCATAAATGGCTTGCTTTACATAGAGCAGCTGCTGTTTAGACAGAGTTTCAAGTGGTCTCTACCTGGTGAGCCACTGGAGGGTTACTAGTGCTCAAAATTCTATCATTGGTTTGGCCCTGCAAAGGTGGAGTCACTCAGGGGAGAGCAAGAAGAAGGCTCTTCTGCTGGGGAACCTTGTATAAGTAAATTGAAATTATATATGTGTGTGTGCAGTTGATCAGCAAATTAATTTATCTATCTCTGGTATTACTTGTTTCTGCATTGTTATTTCAGGGCAAGGACTAACTAGCTGTAAATGTTTAAGTTTGTACCATACGCATTTAGCTCTCTTTGGGCAATTGTTCTGTATAATAGGGATTCTAAAGAAATGTTCTGTTTAAATCTTTGCCCATGTGCACACACACAGAGAGATTTAATCATCTTTACATTTTTCATCTAGTTATTGGATTTGCATGATCACCCAGAGGGAAATACACCATGGTGGTTTATCTCACTATCTATGCATGCCTGGGGAATTAGCATATTGTTGGGAATTCCGTGAGATGTCATGTAAATCCTGCAAGGGGGGGGGGTTTGTTGCCGTGGGTAACAAGCTACCCAGATCCCATGGCTGTTGCAGGGATCTGATGGCGGCAAGGGACCCTCAGTGGCTTTGCACAACATGATAAGCTATGCTGACAAGGGTAATTCTTAATTATTATTGGCAAATGTATCTCTCTCACCCTATATAGCCCGTTACAGGTATGTGTGACTTATTTCTCTCTGTGTGATTATGCAAATATATCCAACCTGTTTTACCTTGACACTTCTAGGATGTACAATCTGAAAGACATTCTCCAACCAGGGATTTAAGGTGAAGGAGGAAGGTGCAGACAAAGAAATTCGTAACCACATATTAAGGAATGAAGTGGAGGGCACTAGCTTTTCCTAGTGCTGAGGCCATTTGATTAAGTTTCCTTCCAATATCATTCAATATCATTTCCTTCCAACTTCCCCGGGAACAAAATCTTCCACAGTATTAATGTGATAAGCTTTCTTACTTCTGACCAATCACCAGTTTTCCACTGCGGGCATGCCAATTCATTGCATCGCTGCATGGTCACCTTCTCTTGCTGACTGCATTTACTGTCCTCCAGGATGTCATTGAACGTATTCATGCAAACAGCTCGGCGCCTCCTTGTACCACCACCACAGCTCTTAGAGCACTTTAGGGAAGAAATGCAGACTCAGGACACAGCAGAAATGCCCATTCTCACCCCAGGATGGACAGGTTATGTCATTGGAACTTGCATTTGTTCAAATGTGCTGAGAACTACTTTGGAAGAACATTTCTTCAGAATATCTAGTAAGAAATGCCACTGTAGTTTTCATTGCCTCTGCAACATTTATTTCAGCTTATGAAATAGGGAAAATGATACGCTCCTGTTGCTTCTATGCACTGCATGTACCCTTACAAACAAACAGCTGATCCATATATATAGAATAAGTTTATATAATATTCAGGATGTAGAAGCAGTGGTAGGAACAGGAGTACCACGAGTGGGTACATAACCCTGTCCATATCAAATCCATTTAACAAAATAGAAAAAACGAAAAAAATATAGTCTTCCCCAAAGTGGTCCCATCAAATCTCTAGGACTACAGTTCCCAGCATCCTCAGCCAGCATGCTGACTAGGGATAAGGAAAACTGCAGTTGAGCAGATTCGGAAAAAACCACACTAGGGAAGTCCACACTAATGTTCATAATTTTCTGTAATAGCATCCCACTCATGTAATATCCCCTGCAAAGGAGAACTGTCCAACTCCACTTATATTAACTTTTTGATGCCAGGCAAATACCATTTCTGGTTCTCAGGTGATTTAATCCTCTATATTTCAGCTGCTATACTGCATTTTTACATAGTTTTTCCTCTGTTTTTTAAGAAGTGTTTCTTATTATGCCTGCTTAGCCTGTGCTGCTTTTAACTGATTGCTCCTTAGAATGGATGGTTTTATTCATGTGTTTCTGTTTTTAGGTAGTGTTCACATTTTATGTCTGCACTTTTATTGTAAATCCTTCCAAGAGCTATTAACTGTTGGGCAACTAGAAATAAAATAAATAAAATTTCATAGCTAGGGAATTGAGGCCAAAAGGTGCACAGTCAGTCCACGTCTGCCTTTCCAGTTTTAAGCCCCATATCTACACATTAGATCAGTCATTTCTAAAATGTCCATCTTCAGTGAAATAACTTCCTTAAATTCTTTCTGTATTTTCTTGTCTATCCTGGAACCACTATGCACGCTGCAGTAATCCTGTGGTATGACTTGGAAGGCATACACAGTTCATGGAAAACAAGAGCCAGCTCCTTGGCATCTTGGTGTGGTCTGAGGCCCACTGTAATATATTTGTTAGGCACTTCTAGAGCAAAATCTCTTGCAATTGCCAGGACTTGGACTCCAATTTTATAGCAGGCAAAATAACCACAGCACAGCCTGGTCTAGTTATGCTGGATAAGTTCCAGTTAGTACACCTCAAGGATGCTGACAAGGTGCTTGGGCAGGTCCATGTAACTACATCCAAACTGGATCCTAATAAAAGCCAGTAGGGAGGGAACTGTCTGCAGGGCCAGGGAGGTGATGAATGCTTCTCTAAGAGAAGAAATGGTCCAGCGCCACCTGAAACCAGTGGTAGTGAGACCACTCCTGAAGAAACCCTCCTGAACCCAGAAGAACTCAACAATTTTAGGCTGGTGGCAAATATCCCCTTCCTAAGCAAGGTTCTTCAGCAGGTGGTGGACAACCAACTCCAGGAACTCTTGGATGGGAGTGATTATCTGGATCCTTTCCAGTTGGGATTTAGGCCTGGTTTTGGCAAGGAAACAGCTTTCATTGCTCTGTATGATGACCTATGCTGGGAGAGAGATGGGACTGTGACACTGTTGGTTTTCCTGGACCTCTCAGTACCTTTCGATACTATCAACCATGGTACCCTTCTAGAGAGGCTGAGTTGGGACTGAGAGGCACTGCATTGCATTGGTTCCACTCCTGCTTGGATGGTAGGGTCCAGAAGGTGGTACTTGAGGGACATAGCTCTGCCCCTTCAGTATGGGATTTCCCAGGGGTCAGTCTTGTCTCCCACGTTGTTCAGCATATAGATGGAAATGCAGAGTGAGGTCACCTGGAGTTTTGGAGTGCATTGTCATGTCATGACAGCTCTATTTGTTCTATCTCTCCTTTTCACCTTCAGCAGGTAAAGCACTAGGTGTGCCGAACCTGTGCCTGGCTGCCACAATGGACAGGATGAGGGCTAACTGAAGCTCCATGCAGACAAGACTGAGGTGCTATTAGTGGGTGATTCTTCTGACCGGGTGGAGGAAATGCAATCTGTTCTGGATGGGGTTCCACTCCCCTTGAAGGAGCAGGTTCATAGCTTGAGCCATCTTTGTCACTTGAGGCTCAGGTGGCTTCAATGGCTTGGAGGGCTTTCCACCACCTTTAGCTGGTGGCCCAGTTATGCACCTAACTGGACCGAGATAGCCTGCTACGTGATCTATGCTCTGGTAACTTCGAAGCTAGATTACTGTAATGCACTTTATGTGGGGCTGCTTTTGATGACTGTTTGGAAGCTGCAGCTTGTGCAAAATATGGCAGCCAGACTAAGAACAGGGATCAGACACTCTGATCACATAACACCAATACTGGCCCACTTGCACTGGCTGCTTATATCCTTTTGAGCCCAATTCAAGTTGTTGGTTTTAACCTATAAAGCCCTACATGGCTTGGGACCATGATACCTGACAGAATGCCTCTCCTGACCTTCTTTTACTCGGATCTTCTATGATCAAGTTCTGGGCTCCTCTCTGACTGCTATCTCTGAGGGAAGCTCAGTTGGTGGCAACAAGGAGAAGTGGTGGCCTTTTTAGTGGTGGCCCCACAGTTATGGAATGAGCTTCCCACTGAGGTCTGCCTGGCAGCAACCTTACTATCTTTTTGATGCCAAGTAAAGACTGTCCTCTACTGCAGGGCATTCCAGTAGCTTCTGCGGCCTGCTAGCTGCTAATAGGTCTGAATATTTCTTCTTTTTTCCTTCTTAAGTTATTATTTTATATATTAACCTGTTTAATATGTAGTGTTAAATTGTGTATTGCAGACTTTTAATGATGTTTTACTATGTTTTTGTACAATGTATGTGCTTTGTGAACCACCCAAAGAGCTTCAGCTGCTGGGTGGTACAGAAACTGAATCTATAAAATAAATAAGAGTGCTAACCACAGAACTTGCATACAAGCTTGTGGCTGGACATGCAGAAAAATGTTGAGAAAGGTGTTCAATCTCTCTTTCAGGAACTTAGGAACCCTAGGGATTCTCAGGAGTGGCCTGGAACCCGCAGCACAGGGTCTAGGCTAGATAGTCTACAAACCATTTGCTATGCCTAGCAAAACCACAATAAAGTATGCAAAATGGTTAGAAAATTTCCAAAATTAGTCTTAATTTGCATAATTTATACAGCTTGGAGCACTGAGACATCTTCACTGCAGAATGTGTTTTAGTGGAATTTCAGATATTCATAGCACGCACAGTTCTGTCCATACTGGCCTCCTTTCAGTCAGTTTTGCTTTGCCACCTTCCATGCCCTGATCCATTTATCCCATGAAGCACCCACTTACTTCTGTCCAGGTTGAATAGCGCCATCCTCCAGTATTACAGTCTGAGGAACATTTTTCCCTGGAGTTTGGTTTGGGGATGCCACTGCAGTATTGGTCATCATACTTCTCAATTTTCCCTTCTGTCTTGCTGTACTTGGTGCAGGAAATTTCCAAAATCTGGAACCCCGATCCACACTGTGCAGTGCATTCACTCTTCCTGGCAATATGCCACCTAGGTGTGATGCAGAGTATTCATTAGCAAGGCCAGTCACTGGCAAGTCTATAATGTATTAGATTGTAAAGGAGCAGGAAAGCAGAATAAACACTTGCAGCCCAAACTTAAGCATGAACCAATCCTGAAAGGCGAAGTAGGTTATCCTATAGGAAACCACCATTTGCAACTCACCCAGCCATGCGAAATACTGAGGAGATTGGAGCGTCTACTCGCTGCAATATGCCCCCTGAACAACAGCACTTTCCAGCAAGCAGGAACGGACAGAGCCCCAAAATTTATGCCAATGTGCTCCCAACTATGCTGCCCCCAGTTGGGAGATTAAGAGGTTAGCAACTATTGTAAGGAGAGATTAAGAGGTTAGCAACTCTTGTAAGAAGAGTTCGAAGTCTTTCCTTGATGCATGAAACGGAACATTACTGAATCAAATAAGTCAGACAATTTCTGGAATGGATGACCGAACAGAACAAAATGGAGTGGGGAAGCAGCTTCGAGATCGTTTATTTAAAGAAAGAAAGAAATCTTGGAATTATGATGAAATCACTTGTTATTTATTATGGGTTACCAGAAAGGAGGTAGCAGGGAGACATTTGGTGGATGAGGTGGAACAGGAGATTCGAGACTGTCATGCTCTCCTGAAATGTATAATTTTTAAACAATAATGATATTTTAAAAATCATCAATGGTGTCAGAACATGTGTGGGGAAGGGGGGAGCACCTCCTCCCAGAACAGGCAACTCTACGCCTTTTACATTACTATTACTATTACATTACTATTAGTTCGATTGTTCTCGGCAGATGGATCCATTTGTAGCCAAAATGACACCATCCACCATCCACACACTAGGGGGAGACATGAGCAGGTCTGGGGCTAGCAGAAGTGCCACAAAAAAACTTTAGTAGGGGGAAGTTGTGGGGGATCACAACAGCATGCTGTATACAATGGAGCCACAGAATGCTGGCTGAGTGCAGGAGGAAAACCAGGAGCAAGGGTAAAGGAATGCAGCATTTTGGAAGGAAGCAAGGTTGTGGACTGCTTTGTTGAAGGTCCAACTTCTTATAATGGAATCTGAAACCAGAAATTAAAATAGGGCTCTAGAGTACTTGAACACATATTTAACCCGGAAGTTCCAGGTTCAGTTCCTGGCATCTCCAGCTAGGGCTACTGAAGATAATGAATCAGACCTGTAACCCTGGAGAACCACAGACCTGTAACCCTGGAGAACCACTGCCATATTGGTTAAATGGACAAATGGTTAACTCATCATAAGACAGTCTCCTCTAACCTTAAGCCCAATCCCAATCCCATCATCATCCCCATCCCCAAACCTTGTTTAAAAAACAGAACTTGCTGCAAAGAAATATGGTGGGAATGGGGACCTTTATCTGAAATATACAGCTTTTACATGGGTCACAGAACATCCCCTCAAAAATGCACTTTGCCCTTTTTGTGTCCCATGTTCATCTCATTATTTTTCTACACACACAGAGAGGGAGGGGGGGATTCTGTGATGAGAATTAAGCAAAACCTCTCCTAACTCTCTTTTCTTCAGTGTTTAACAGATGCAATATGACGACATTTGTATCATTGTTATACCCCTATTGTCAATGGAAGGTCACTCCACAAGCACCACTCTATTGCTGAAGGCACTGCTTTTCTATCCGCTATCCTACATTGGCTCTTGAAACTAAACTAACCTTATTTATTAAAAAAAAGAAACAATGAAGATTAGTAATAGAATTTTAATCCTGCAGTGGATCTGGTTGTATTAGCAGAATGGCTGTGACTCAAAATTTGTCCAGCAGCATTTACTATGTGTGTGTACATTTATGAAAAGACAGGATAAGATATTTTTAATCCATTTATGCCTTGCAGTTCTATCAGCAAATGGCACTGAAGGCAGACATTAAGATAAAAGTATAAGTAAAATAATAATAAAACAAATACATCTAAAGCACAATGAAAATACTTCCATAAAATAAAATTAGCACCCACACCAACAGATCAGCATACACGTCAAAAGCCTGCTTGAATAAAAATGTCTTTGCCTGCCAACAGAAGAACAACAGATGGGAAGCCAACTTGGCCTCCTTTGCCGGGGAGTAACAAGTCCCGTGAGCAGTCGCCGAGGACGTCCTCCCTCACGTGCCCACCAAATGCTCCTTTGATGGGGTGGTTCCAAGAGGATTTCCAGGGAAACCTGTGCAAGCTTCTATGGCTATCAAGTAACCTGCCTGTCTCAGGCCATATAGCTTCCTGTGAGCCCAGAAACAGATGGGTTGATGAGGAAAATGTTGGAACAAGGCTCCTTGTAATTGATACAGTCAACAGTCCAGCTGCAGCATTTTGACCAGCTGAAAGTTTTGAACAAGGAGAAAAGGAGCCAGTATGAATGTACTCTCACTAACAAAATGTTTGCAAAGGTATCACCAAACCTTCTTGAATGGCAAAAGAGAGGCAAAATATGGAATGGGATTTACTGGGACTAGTGCCAGGAATAAGGGACAGTACTTGATAAATAGGGAGATTTTTGTGCATATACAATTCAGTTGCCAGATGGATGCAGAACTGAAAAAAGTGGAGAAAGAATGTGAGTGGATATTTATTTTATGAATCTTTGTGTTCTGAAAAAAGAAATTTCATTGATGTTCTATCAATCTATGATGTTTGGGGAAGGAACAGGTGGGAAACCAAGAAAACTGAAAATAGGGAACCCTTATTATCCCTTCAAAGAAAAGGCATCTGGCAACCCTCAGCATAAATGTTATGTAAAATAATAGTATTTATAAGCAGTTTCTGCTGAATTGCAAGCTGTTTAAACTGTGATGGCATTTCCCAAGCTGCCACATTAAGCAAGTGTGGATCATTTTATCTATTGTTATAAAAGTCAGAACTAAAAATCTGTCTAGATGGCAACTTTCTGCTGCAGATGGCTTTCTCTGCAGCACATATCTATAAATTCATTTGTTTTTCTTTTAAAAATGCCTCAGTGCTATCCAACAATAGAAATATTCTCACAGTAGCTTTCAGGAAATAAAAACAAGAACATTTAGCATAATGAGATAATAACACAACTGAAATGCAGACGATAATAACTGCTTGTAATAAAGTCACTGCAGTTTCAGCATCAAAAGCTCCCAAAAGCTCAGAGAATGGAAATGTTCTTATTGGGTGCTGAAAAATAGCACAGGAAGCGCCAGCCAGACTTCCCTGGTGGTAGATGTCCTTAAACAGGGCACTACCACTAAGGAGGCCCTCTCAGGAAGAGTCACCTACATTTTGCCCAAATGGTGGGGACACCTGAAGGATAGCCTTGGACTGTGGCCTCAGCACAGGCCGAAGTGACACCGGCACCATGTTGAGGAAGAACTATTCTGAACATAGGAAAAGCATGTGTGTGAGTGTGTGTTGGCAGAGCGGTGTCCAGCAGGGATCAGAGAGGGGAGACAGGCTGAGGGGAGCTAAACACAGCACTGCAACCACCACTTGCCTTCCCACACCCTCTCCTGGCCCCAAGCGTTTTTCCTGGTGGGCCACATTAGGGGAAGCCATGGTTGGGTGGGGGAATGTTTCACAACAACCCCATTGTTAGGAAAACAAAAGCCGCATTTCCCTGGTTTATACATGATCAAGGCTGACCTCTAATGCAGGAAAGGAGGCAGCTGTTACATCTAGAGAAGCAACTCCTCTTGGCTATAAGCAGACTCAAGTAAGTTGCTAGGACCCAGAGAGGAGGAGCCATTCAGACAGATGCCATCATGGGTATTCCTGACAAAGAGCAAACCACCTGTGCCAGGAGGAGCTGAAACACCCAAGTAACAAATACCAGCTCCAAATGACTCTTGATTCAAACGATGATGGCACCTACTACTCCTACTCAAAGTCCAGCCTGCTGGATCAAAGAAAAGGGAATAGTGAGCAACTGCCTTTCCCAGGCAGCTCAGAATGCAAAGGCAGCACCTGAGGACAGTTAGGAAAGGCTTTCCACTCTCCCTCCCTTCAAAACTTTGAGAAACACTGCAGGAAGGCAAGCTTAGCCCTTTAAATCACAAGATTTGCACATCCCCATTGGGGTTTCCCTGAGGTTTGCCATGTCCAGAGGTGTTATCCACTAGGAACAAAAGCTGGGGCAAGCTGGGGTTCTCTAGCACCCCCTAAAACATGGAAATCCTTCTTGTAAGGGAGGAAAATTAATAGAGTGTTGCTTTTTACAAGTTCTTGAGGCTTCTCGTGCCTATTTTATTCATATGTGGGAAAGTCAGGGCAGCCCATTCTGAAACTTTGCAGGATTCTTCAGCCACCCCACCTTTAAAATAATCAACAATATTAAATAGCATGCTACAAAGTTGCAATCTGGCATGTGTTCCATGTTTATGCAGACAAGTGCCTCTGCCAAATTGCAATTCTGTAGCCCACTGCTATTTTTCCCAATTTTTTAGAAAGTTGGGGTGGAAAAGAACCCTTCACTAGAGAATTCCCTCTCTGGGAGTGAAGGGACATGTGGCCCTAGTCTGCCTTCACTTTCCCAAATGTACATAACACAGAGGGGGAAAACACTGGGGGAAAAAATCAAGCCACGCCCAATGCTACATGGCTTGTGTGGCTCAGGACACATCCCAGGGATCTTGCACTGAAGGACTGAGAGGGTAGCAAAGAGGGGAAAAGAGGAAGCACACAAGGAGGAATTGCAACTCTTCCTTGTGTTAACAAGTGCACGGTTAACATTCTCAAAGGGTTCAACATATTGCAGACCAAGCCAGGGTCAACAATACTGGGCTAGAGAGAACCAAGGTCTGATGCAGTCTAAGGCAACTTCCTATGTTCCTATGACTAGCCTGCTGTTTGATTGTGTAAGTCGATTGTATTTTTAATTTGTGATTGTGCTGTTCAAGTTTTCATTATGTTTATTATTGCTTTTAAATGTGTAGTTTATTTTGCTTGCAGGCTGCTTGGAAGCCCTCTAGGCCAAAACATGCCTTATCAGTTTTAAAAATAAAGTGACAGTAACATTGCTAATATTAGCAAACAAGTAAGCTTCTCCATAGTTTTTGCTAATTGCTCCATAGTTTGTGCTAACAGGAGGTGGAAGTGGTGAAGAACATGTAGCTATACTGAAGCCCAAGTCTCATACAGTGCAATGGAAAGCGCCCACCATTTTAGCATGCATGTGAGTCAGACATAAGAACACAGATATTAGGCAAGAAGATCAGGCCTAAAATATATGATGCAACATATCAACATGATGCTTTGGGGTACCTTAATTCACAGTTCGTATTACATGACTCAGTTATTGGAACAGGTTGGGGAATTTGATCACATCTTTGGTCAGACACCATGAGCTGGTCAGATTCTCGGGTGCAAATAGGCTTTCTTTTTCGCTCCCCTAAAGACAAGAGTTAAATACAGTTGTATGAGGCGCATGAACATTTACTTTCTCTCTCCAAAAATGGTCTTCCACAGATTTGTTTACACATCATTCAGGTAAGTCTTGCTTCAAGATAGGACCCAAATATGGGTTCAACTCCTATGCTATTTTGACAGAAAAGGTTCTCTTGATGTTCTTCCTTTTACTAGGGATCATATTATGTTTCTCCTGTTCTTTACCCTGGCTACCAATAAAATAATACAAAGGCTGCATTCAGAAAACATTGAATATCCCACATTCAAAGGCTAAGTATGGGTTAAAACTGGATTGTTAAAAATGGGTTAGTGTGTTGTCTACACCCAGCCACGCTAACAAACAACATTTGTTAAATGTGACCGACCCATTGTTCACAACCCAACCAACAAGCCATGGGTTCTCTCTATGGATTGTTTGTGGCTAACAAACTGTAGTTTGTTAATAGAAGTGGGTTTATCTACATTTCAATAACAACCCATGATTCAATGACAATTCACACTCAACCTTTGAGTTACCAGGGGATACCCAGTCTATGCCTCTGTCTTTTAAATTTTGGCTTTCTTTGACATCTTCCTCCAGATTTCTGTCCTAGCAGTGGCTATCTGAACTCTTACCACCAGCCGAATGGAAATTTCCATCTACCATGTTGATGGAATTTGTTAACATCATCACATTTACATCCTGCCTATTTTCCTCTTGCAAAGTAGTTTACATGGGCCTCCTCCCCCCCATGTTATCCTCACAGAAGTAGGCTGAGAGTCAGTGTCTGGCTCAAAGTTAACCAGTGAGCTTTATGGCTGAATGGGACAGGAATCCAGTCTTCCAAGTCTAATTACTATGCCACACTGGTGCCCTGTCACACACTGGAACAGTAATAGTGCTTTGTTATGCTGTGTTCTTATTTGTGGAGACTGCTTCAGCCAGGGCTCAATTCTTATGCTCTAAGTTGGATGACTTTGCTTGACATTCTGTTGGATATGACCAGAGAGGAAAGAATTGATGCTTCCGAGAAAGAATAATAGTCAGAACCAATGAAAAATGCCTACCAAAAAGTATGGAATTATTTGATCTCCAAGAAAGGAGGCCAACGAAGCATGGTTTTCTATGAGCTACTCTAGTCTGTAAAACTGACACTGAATTTTTGACCTTCAGTATAGGGATAAAAGAATTAAAAGGTTTGAAAAAGAAAGCAGGTCAGTAAGACAAGTTGGATTCTTCATATACAGCATCAGTCAATTTAATAGACGAAATGTTTCTGGGAAGAATTTCTTGTTGCTCCGTTCTGCTTCTTGTACACCTTAGTATTATCAGATCTATTAATACTCATTTATCCCAACACCTATTAAGGCATGGATACTCTAACAACTTTCCCTGCTTTGTCACCCACTGAGGAAATGACATTTTTTACTCTACAGTGAGAGCCAGTGTGGTCCAGTAACTATCTTGCAGGATTCTGAAGCTCAATCCAGACAAGACGGAGGTCCTGTTGGTTGGCGGATCGGGCTTCGGTGAGGGTGAATTGAACCTAGTCCTGAATGGGGTTGCACTCCCTCTTAGGGACAAGGTCCTCAGCTTGGGAGTGTTCCTCGACCCAGAGCTTTCAGTGGAAGCTCAGGTGACAGCAGTGGCGAGGAGCGCTTTCCTTCAGCTTCGGCTGATCCATCAGCTGCGCCCCTACCTGGAGTACGACTGCCTGGTGACAGTGACACACGCGCTGGTGACTTCCTGCCTTGACTTCTGTAACGCGCTCTATGTGGGGCTACCCTTGAAGATGGTCCGGATACTTCAATTGGTTCAAAATAGAGCTGCCAGGCTGCTGACGGGGACTGGGCGTTATGTTCACATGACTCCAGTCCTCCGTCAGCTTCACTGGCTTCCCATTGAAGTCCGGGCCCAATTCAAGGTGTTGGTGATGACCTATAAAGCCCTAAACGGCTTGGGTCCTGGCTACCTGAAGGAGCGCTTACGTCCATATATGCCCGCCCTGAAATCAGCGGGAGAGGCCCTTTTCCGGGAACCTTCCGTGAAGGAAATTAGGAGGATAAGTACTCGGAGG